ATCCACCAAAAATATTTGGCTTATCTAATTGATCTGGTTTGTTTATAAGTTTGTGTTGTTTGATTAAGGGCAAATTCCACTGTTTAATTAGGCTAAAAATTAATCTGCTTTTAAGTAATCTAATGCTAATTTTAATGAGATTTTAGAATAAGTTTCAAGAAATTGTGATAAATGAGGTGGGAATTGATATTGTACATATTGAATGTAAGAGAATGATTATAGTAAATTTAATAGATTAAAGAACATTTCTGGATTTCCAATTAAAAATAATAATGTAGAAATGCTTATCATTATATACATAATAACATCATTCATCTATACGGTCTATGTTAATTTTCTTTTTGTGGAATTTGATAAGACAAAAGGATTTCCTATTTAAATACTTTTCTAAACACTTTTGAGTGGAATATTTTCAGAATTAATAATTGATTTGTCCATAAACCTTAATTAAAAAATTGGATGGTCTACACTTTATTCAAAATAAATATAAAATTGATAATGAGACTTCTGAAAATCACTAGTCAAATTTAAAAGGAATAATTTCTGGTTGTATCTAAAAGTCAGCAATAGATTCAATTGTGATATGTTAATTTAATTGAACTTGCTGAGAAAAAGTTAGATCAATAATTTAAAATGAATTCTATGAATTAGTGATTACATTTAAGTTAAAATCAGGAGCTTGTATGCATGTACATTCACCTTTTTGGTATTCAAGATTTTAAAAATTAAAAGAAAGCTCATTGAAACATGATTCTGAACATCCATTCCCTCCAAATAAGTTTCCATCATCACATTCTTCATTCAAAGTAGTTTAAAGTTTACCATAACCACAATTCAATTCAAATAATTAATAATCACTTTATAGAATTTGAACATCCTCATCATTATTGTGGTTGTTGGTATCTTCACTGTCACTAATTTGAATTTCCTCTGAATTTTTATGATCTTAACTATTTATTAATTGAACTTCCTCCTCTAAATAGTGTTAAGTAATGCAATTATGAGAGTTTCATTATCAAGAATAAATTGTTCTTCATTGTTACATTATAAACAAACATTATTTTCTTAACAAACCAAACATCCTTTAATACGTGAATACAGATTGATCAAATAATTCTTTTTGCGCAATTATTCAAGCAATTAACTTAAAATTTAAGATATTTTGATACATTGTTTTTTTGGATTCTTTTTCATCATAATTTGAAACAATATAATATATACCTTATTTATATTTTACTATTTTATAAATAGTAATTACAAATTAAACCATTAATTATTGTATTTACAATCTTAGCATACATCAAACTCAATTTCATTTCCATCATCGCATTCTTCAAATCCTTATTTTTATTTCCATCGCCACTAATATTTATGCATGTTTTATTAACAAGATTAAATGTGTCCTCACATATTTAACATTACTTTAGTAGTTGTTGTTAAAATTATTGATATTTCAATAAATCATGATCAAATATTATCTCAATTCTAATTAAAGAGATAAAAAACATTTACAAAATCTCTATTGGTTATCACAAAGCTTGCAAAAGCATATAAAAAGTTGACATTTCCTACAATTTAAGTGTTAAGGATCATCATTTATTCTTCAGACACAATGGCTACATAACCATCACCACAAATCTAATAAAATTTCCCTTCTATCAAATTCCATCCAGATATACATTATATTCATTTCATGTTTTAACATACAAGACACTCTATTTGACAACTATATTAACATTTATAGTATCTATCAAATTGAATATTATTATCGTCCTCGCATATCTTATCAGATTTAATAAATTAGTCTTTACATTTCGGATAACATCTATTTTCTTACATTGAAATCCTTCAATGCATTCAAGACATTAACCAAATAAACATTTTAAGCAATTAATTGGACATTAAAATTTACAATTAAAACATATATGAGATAATATTATTTTTTAAGCAATTTTCATCATTCATTTCACATTATTCATTACCAGTAAGAATTCCATCTCCACAATTAGAAATGCATTTCAATTAATCATCAAAATAATATCCTTTTTTACATTTAATATAACCATCATATGAACATCAAAAACAATTTTCAAAGCATTAACTACAATATTATTTAGGTGATTAAATCATCTAATATTAACACAACTACTAACATTAATTAAACAATGTTCAAATTAGTAATCAAAAATTTAGTGATTTAAATACATTATCTAGAATCTATTGAAAGCAAATAATTTTCATTACAAATGTAATCAATTTAATAAAAACAAGAAGAACAATTTATATCACAAGGAAAATTATACTAATTGATATAATTCTCCTATCAAATTACATAATTATAAATTATTTTCTATTTCATTTCCTAATAAAGGATCATATTAGATTATTGTTAGTGGATGATTTAAACTATAATTATAACATATTCAATTAATGCAGTCATGAGTCATTACATTCCAAACATGCAAATCTTGAAGTACAGCTCTTGCAAGATGAAGGACAATCATAACATAAAGATTAATGAACATTAAAATATTAATTAGGTTTAAAATCAACCTAAGACAATTAAATTTTAGTTGAATAATCTGTACTATTCTATTTTTGGCAAGTTTAATGAGATGTGCATTTGTTACAATAAGGTTAACAATAATGAACTGCTAAATATAAATTGTATAATCCACAACAAGCTTTTATTGGTTCATTATTTTAACCCTTGCATTCAACAGTAATAATGAGAGTATGTGAGTTGTGATTTATTTTTTCTGAAACTACTTCTACAAAAGTGCCATCATTCTATTATTTCACCTCATTTTATTTTTACTAATTGGTGTATTTTCATTGATAGTATATATAAATTAACTATCAGATGGAAATTCAGGTCCATTCAAAATGTAGAATGCTATTGAAATACTATGATGTGGTCTATTTATTAAATGGATTCTTATGCCCATGTAAGTGACCTCTAAAGATAGAATTTCCTTTTCAAAAAGATTAATATATATTTTATCCTTTTAAGAAATTTCTATTAAATTATTTGATAAGTTTAGATTAAGAATTGTAATTTAACTACTTTGAATACTATGTATACTCAAATGTATGGTTTATCTTTTCAATTATAATAAGTTCAGAATCTATGATATAAATATATAATAAATTTTACATTGTGTTTCATTATCAAAATCTTTTCAATAAGTTTAATTCTTAGATTAATACACATTATCACATTCTAAGATACAAGTATAATCAAATAATATATATATCTATTCTAACATCTCGATACAATAAGTATGGACTCTTACAAATCTTTCATTTACATAATATGAATGAAAAGTTGAAAAGAGTATAGACATCACAAACTAAACAATAATCAGTACAATAATCTGTACTAATTTAGATATCTATTATTCCCCAACCAGCATTTGAATTTCTAATTGATAATATACATAAGATTTCCTATTGCTGTTAATAACAATGGATACTGAGAAATATCAAAGTATCTATAAATTTCACATAAATAATTATTAGTACTAAATAGATAAGATAGTTCTTATTTTGTGCAATTACTTTTTGTAAAATTATGTAGTTTGATTCCTGAACTTGTATTAAATATTGAACCATAATAAGTTCGATTAAACTTAAAATGAATTCCATATTCAAGAGGTAAATCATCAATAAGAATTAATTGTATTTTAAGCACAATATGATAACCAATTTTTGGTATAATCTCATATATAAATCTAGATATTCCATTATTATATTTAATATTCCATAAAAAAATTAATTAAACCATAATAGTTAAGGATGTTGTATATTGGATTGTTTTTGATTATCATGATTTATTGACCAAAAGATCTATTCAGTAAAATTAGATAGATTGGTAGAATATTAGATATAAGCTAAAATAAATCAAACATTTTACATAAACAAATCTTACAAAATCCAGAAGAAAATAATAGAGTATGATAATTAGTGGAGATACTCAGGTATATTATTAAAGAGGGTAATTTTATTATCAAAATATATTAATATAATAATAGAGTTCCCCCATGAGCAACAAGTACTATTTTTGCAAGACATTTTCTCAATTTATGTCCAAAATCTAGTATGACCCGATATAGGTTCTCAAGTCATTTTGGGGAATATGGCAATAATATTTTTGTAAGACATTTTATGTTTTTGTGCAAAATCTAGTATGACCCTCAGATATAGATTGTCACCTCTCCAGTAGAAATCCAGGTCAAAATATTTTATAACTACTTATTTGGGTAAGTGTATCTTAAAAAATTTTTTAGTTAATATACATCTCACTACATCATCAAAGAGGGAATTTAAAAATGTAGTAGAGAAATTTAGCTCTGTTTCTTCTATAATCGGAATAGATCTCAACTCTACTATTAAGAGCTCATTATATCAATTGCATATATCCTATTCGCAATTATATACATTTAAATGAAGAATGGTAAGTTTCAAATTGTGATTACGAACTATTTCCAAAAGGAATATGGAAATATTATTGTAGTTATAAATGTCTAATATCTTTTGATTTGTATTATTAGAGTACTTAGATTGATAATAATAACTTAACATTTACTCACTACATCACCCTATGAATATTAATTAGACTCAGGGTTTTGTGATAATAAAAAATATGAAATTTTATAAATAAACATAACTCAAAATAAAGCTTCCTTCTTAAATTTCACAATTTCAACAAATTTAGTAGGAGGTTTTATTTTATAAATTCATTCTGGTTGGTGGCACTATATTATAAATCCCGCATTTTTTTTGTATTCTTTAAAATCAATCAAATTTTCAAAAACTGAAAATTTGGACGTTTTATCACCTCTCACTGCAACCAAGTCGTCTTTAGTCCATTAGTCAGCTATAATGTTATATCTAATGTTGCCTGGAATGTAGAATTTGATATTTAATACATATTTTTTGGTAGAGACTACACCTTAAGTTTATCTATCAAAAACCTCAAGATTTAGTTTAAAGGTTGATTTGGTAAATGTAATTAAAAAGTTTGAAATTGATTAACAAGAGGGAAAGATAAGTTAAGTAATAAAAAAGGAAGGGAGCGTATTTTTACTATTAATGTTTTGAAGGAGATTAGAGATGATGAATAGGATGAATAGATTTATGAATTATATAAAATTAATGAAG